CCATTTCCTGCGTAACACTATCCAGTTTTCTTTCCTTTTCATTCAATTCTTGAGCAAGAGCATTGATCAAATGCTGCTGCTGGACTACCTTTTCTTCTGCAGCTTGTTCTATTCCAGATAGCACCTCCTGAGTTGTGTACAGTGAATTTGCAGTTGCATGTTGACTGGCTCTCTCCAATAAAACATCTTGTGATAGTGCAGTTAAGGTATTAATAATATGTTTGTCATTAGTCATTCTATCTTGAGAATGTTGAAAGCAGACATCTTTATATGATGTTTCATTATTTGAATGGGAAGCCAGACGGAGCAATGTTCCTTCATTCACATGCCCTTTCAGACCCTTATTCTTTACTGAGAACTGTGTGTCTGTAAATAAACTAGCATCACCTTTTAAATCTTCATCGCTGCTGTAGTGCACCTGAGTATACAGATTTGCAAATCTACTCTTTTCTCTGCTGGGCAACTTCTTAGGTAAGAAATGTCTTGTTGACCGACCTGAATGACCATATTCTCTAAAAGTAGCTTTCGGAAGACAGTCACGAACATTCACCTTTGATCCCAAGCCTTTACACCGAGTTCTACATCTTTTGTTTTTAAGTTCATCTTCTTTACTCATTTTCACAATTTCTTCCAGTTTCCTTGCATCAGTATGATAAAGTTCTAACAGAGGTGAATGAAGAAAACAGTTAAATTGATGGTCACTTTGACTGACATAGGGAAAATTTACTTGACGATAAGATCTGTCATCAAGGCCGGCATGTTCAACATGCAGGTGTACCCGTAAATCTGGTAATGTAGAAAATGTGTTATCACCACACTCTGGGCATCTGTATGGAATATTTATATGTGTGGCCATGTCTAGCAGTAAGATTTCTGGCACATATTCTCATCAATGCATCTCATGTCTGGAGTTTCAGGCAGTCAAGAACCACAATTGGTTGTTTTTTTTTTTTTGCTAGAAATAAAATGACAACAAAAGAAAAATTATTATAGCAGTCAAATTTTAGAGGGTTATAAGTTATGATAAAATAGTGGGGGAAACACATAGCATGCATGCACACATGTACTCACACATGCACACACGTACATACATAGCATGAATTAGCAGAGGGAAAGATCACAAATAATACCAATTCATTCTCATGACATTACTGGAAAGAGCTGCAGAAGTGAAAAGATATTTGCATGTTTGCTTCATGGACCATATACAAGCATCTGATTGTGTGTAACATGAGAGATATGTACCTTTTTAAGGGAAAAAAATCATCAAACTGCCCCCCACCCTCCCCCGGGGGAAAACCCAAATTTCCCATCAAGCACGCCCTTTCTTTTGCTTAAAGGGGGGTGATTAGGGGTTGACTGGATCTTAATGTTAATGATACAATGTCAGTAATATTGTCCAATTATTCATAGTACAATTTAAACAATAATCTCAACCCACATTAACATGAAATGTGAAACAATACAAAACTACATTTTGGTCATACAAATAATAACATGATATATAAAATAAAAATAAAAATACATACTCTGAGAACTTAACTAACACTATATATCCCAATTATAGCACTGAGGGTTGAACATGATATTTTTGAACAATTACTATTACTAGAAGGGATGTTAGAGAAGTTTTAAATTTTGGGTTTTTACCTATTACGATGTGCCAACCGCCTTTTAGTGGTGGCAGAAGAAGAAAACGAACAAGAACCAGAAGAAGAACAAGAGAGGAAGCAGAAGAAGAAGAAGAAGAAGAAGAAGAAGAAGAAGAAGAAGAAGAAGAAGAAGAAGAAGAAGAAACTGACTAATAGTTATTTATACCATGTTAAGACTAAAAGTTTCAAAAATGAACCCCTTTAATTTAGAAAAGACCGGCAGATGTGACACGTAATTTGTGACAGTGACATATAATTACAGCAAAACCGACGGACCCTCTCAGTAATATAACTAGTTGTAAAGTAATGCAGTATGAGTACAGCTTACTTACTCAATGATCTAAGTTAGCTAAGTTATTCAGTGAGTTAAAACTAAGCAGGGTTCACTAAAATTAATAAAAAAGATAACCGACAAAATAGCATAACCGTATTTATTGACAACACTGTAAGTACAACCACAACACGCTCAACATCACAATAATTAATAAACCCCCAGTGGTGGCTGAACTGACTGCTACCTTGCAGCCACAAGAATACGGAAACATGAACAATGAAGCTCTAAATAATTCAATGAAACAGCTGTAACCAACCAAAACGCAATCGATTCTCATGCATGACTAGTCACCGACTCACAATCGTGGAGTCCGCTGTACACAAGCACATATTGCAACAAGTCATACCGTTTGTAGTGGGGATAGTTGCCCTTGAACGCCGATCACAACTGCTGCTAATATTTCAGATAAAAATGATACTTCATCTTCGTCATTCACACTTAAAAGAGCGGTCGGCACCATGTTTTGTGGTTTACTGCGAGGCTGCGATATCTACGCCTTCAGCCTAAACGCATTCGATTTCAGCGAGCCACTTATTCACTTTTCACGAGAAGATCAAGGCCCTGTGAAAACCTTCAACGAAATCAGTAGAGAAACAAGATTATTATGGTCTGCAGAGAGATGTAACCAGAGGGTCTGGCCGGCTCACTACAGTCAGAGGAAAGGCAATACGGACATATTGTGACCTGTACCATCAGTACTGGAACTCTGCGTTGGCAGCTGAGGATGAGGACGGGGCACGCATGGGAATGCCCGGAGTGATGTGATGTCAATTCTTGACTCAACTCAACTCACGATATGCATGTCGATGGGGAGCGGGTGGACCTATCCTACCCCCAGCCAAGGTTCCAGAACCCACACCGGGGTAATAATGAATATAATGGCAGAAAGCGATGAGGCGTATACATTAAAACTCTTCACTGTCAAGGTAGGCTCAATTAGGAACAATTGGATGCCGCCACTGACAGCATTTATGGATGATACCGCTGTCATCACGTACAGTGAAGATCATGCCTGTATTACTTACTCTAGAGTGGCTTGATCACGTTGTCGAATGGTACTTCTGTTCAAAAAAATAATTAAGGAGTTTAAAATCGGCAAGGTAAGAATCGCGATGATGCTGACCCCACAGTGACAGCCGTCCAGTCCACTCTAAAGACAGGTACGAAATGGAAGGTCCAAAATGCGATAGTCTGCTCGGAAAGCATTGTAATTTAAGGTTGCATACAAACCAACTAAGCCTAGGGCATGGAAAAGTCACTTGGTAGTCCAAAGCATCGGCTAGAGGACGCAGAAACATAGTGATACAGCAGATAAGGGACACCGAAAACGAGACTCGGGTCCCAAAAAAAAAAAAAAGCAGCCCAACAGTCGCAGCAAGGTCGGTGGATCGGCCTCGAAGCGCTTTCACACGAGTACTCACATGGGGTGTGAGATTTGGCGAATGGTCTCACTGTGGCTGAGCTTATGATGTGTTACACTCTGGCGACCAGACATGTCCACTATGCAGAACTAAACAGACGCTCGAGCACTTATTGTTCACGCGCACAAAAGCCCTAGGCCAAGGACAATTTACGTAGTGCCACAATAAAGTCCTGAAAGAGTTAGTGGACAGTGCGGATGAAGCCAGGATTAGGGCTAACTCGAGGGTCAGTCCTACCATCCCCCATGGCCTTCCTCAAGGCTGGGCAGATCTCTAAAGGTTGCATACACTTCACCAATACTTGACTGCGCAAGGGACTGATTACTGGCGGTCGACCTGCCTGGTTTCGAAAAGTATCCAAAATCAATCCGAAAGGCCGGCCTGAAACCAGACATGGCCCTGCACTCTGCGGAAAAGCGCCAGCTCATCCTGAAAATCACCAGTACAAGCTCGAAAAGCACGGTGAGCTGGTGGCCGGTCTAAGGAGAGTGAATGCGTACACAGTAAAAAAAAAAAAAAATCTGCGTCGTCGAGGTAGGCGCAAGAGGACTCATCTCCACTTCCACATATAATTTACTAAAGCACATGGGCTTGTGAGGAAATGATGGGGGATGGGCCTCTGAACGTCGTTTGGGACGGGCTTCGGTAGATTGGTCCGAGCTCCTCGTGGAAAAGATTTTCATCTCTAAAGTCAAAGTGACCGATAAAGTGTCTGCTAGTGTCTCTCTGTCAATTGCCAAAGTCTAACATCTGTCCGATAAACCAGCCGTAAGCTTGACACTCTGGTCATCAAGGTAGTCGGCTTAATTTGATACCGCAGCGACAATATATAACAAATCTCACAATACTTGTTGCAATGTCACCATTTTGTCTTGTCCCTGTCCGAACGTCCAATTGTGCAGCAGGTGATGTCAGAGGCCTGGCTTCATGACCAGGTCGCCTTCCAAGATTGTCTAGGAAGTAATGGGCCGAAACAATCTTCTACGAGGGATCTTTCTACTGATGATCGGTGGACACCTGCTGTGCAGGCTCCTGTGTTTAGTTCTTCTTCTTATTATGTTACCTGTTATTACGTGTAATCTGTGGTTTCATTCACTTCTGCGTTAGCGTTCCCTTTTCTGTTATCATTTGTTCAAAGTACTGTTTAAATGTGACACATATCTTATTCTTGATATATTTAATTTTATAAATTAAACAGTTAACAACAATGATGGAGTCGGTGGAGATTATTACCAACTGTTTTTGATTTATTATGCATGGAAAGGATGAAACGATGGTGACAGTAGTAATAACAGCAGTAGTAATGGCAGTAGTAGTAGTAGTAAGAGTATTAGTACTAATAGTAAGAGAAGTAGTAGTTTTATGAAGCAGAAATAATATTAATATCCTGTTGAATCCCCGTGGTTACTACTGGGATACAAAGTGACCACTGTATTCCATTCCACACACACATATACTCACGCTCTCAGTTTAAAGCACACCTATGACCAAATATGGCTGCAGGGGTGTTGTGTGACCTGGCCACCCCTGTCGATAAAAGAAAAGGTTCACCTGCGGCCGTGTAGGCGCGACTTTCAATTTTAATTCGTGAAAATGGATGATTTCGGTCTGTGTTTATCTGGGGATAAATTCTCAGCAGTTCCCATGGGTAGAAGAAATACGATTCATGGAAGTGAAATACGAAAGGCAAGGAATATGTTGGTTTTAAACTAAGTCGTAACTTAAAAAGTTAAATGGAACGTCATCATCATTTATTTACTTATTTCTTCGTCAGAGGCGATGCACCTGATATGCACAATATTATTTGTGCACAAAATTTGTTACTTTGCATGCCTTTGCTATCATTATTATGTAACATATTTCTCAAATAAACTGTATTTGAAATCGGCGAATGCTGAACTAAGAAGACTGAAAATTAGAAAATAGTTTTAGTTTAGTTTAGTTTTTCTTTACTAAACTAAACGAACTAAACCTTTAAAAAAAAAAAAAAAAAAGAAACACTGAAGGATGTCTCAGAAAGAAATCTTCTAAATCTGTCACTATCTATTCTTTATCTTTATGTTAGTAATTATTAATAATAACAATTTAAATCATAAAGTTTATACATTTACTTGATAACTATTAATTCATCATCTCATCAATGTCCACTTTTCCCGGTAAGCGCCGTGTGGCGACAGTTTGCAATTCATTCATTGCTTCATGGATAGCAATGGCTGTTGTAATATTATTAATTGTCGTCATCCAATCCATGTCGATGTAGAAGCTCTTTAATGTCATCAGTCCATTTTCTCCCAGAGCGACCTCTTGTTTCACATCAAATCATTATGTACTGAATTACGAACCAGTGTTACAATTCAGGAATACATTTCCTGAATTGTAACAACACTGGTTCATAATTCAGTACATCTTCTTCTTCACTTCCTCTTTTACCGCTGTGGGTGTTAGGGAGATATAAGGTTCTGTTTCTAGCTCTTCTGGCCGCCTCGACCATAGCAGAGTTTCTCTGATGTTATCCTTCCATATTGTTCTTGGTCTACCTCGTGCTCTACGTCCTTCCTCTCTTTCCATGTATGCTTTGTATGGTATGGTGTCACAAGGCATTCTCTCTAAGTGGGCAAACCATTTCACTTGCTGTCTTCGTATGTAAATTTAGAATTGGTTCTGTGCTGACTTTTTCTCTTATGATCTCATTCCTGATCTTATCTCTTATGGTCACTTCTACAGCCTTTCTCAGACATCTCATCTCCATTGGTTACTAATTTTCTTTTATGGTTTGTTGTGAGTGACCATGTCTGGCACTGGTAGCACAGAGTTGGAATAAATATGCTTTGAATAAGATGTCTCTTTGTGCTGATTGAGATTGTCTTATGTTCAGTACACACCAGCTGTTGATTACATAGATCCAACCAGCTGAATACTGCATACTCAACAAACACTCATATAAATTTAATTAGGTATGAGCGAAACAGCTCTCTGTCAATGCCTTCATGCTAAACAGACTCCAGAGCGTTTCTTGCAAGACTGTCCTCCTGGCAGAGCTTGAACCAGCATGTTGCGTGCCTAGTAGAATGACGGCTAAGTTGGGGAAACCTAAGAAACCTTGAGATGACATACATCCCATTTTATGGCCCACAGTGGATTAAGCGTATGGCCACTTATCACTGAACAAGATCTTTTTATGCGTAGCGCCTGTGTTGATATTGTTCTGATTGCATTCTGATGAGATGACCAAATCATTTGATCTTCTACGTCTCATTATATTTTGTGCATGGTGTTTCCACAGTCTGTCTGCTGTCTGATAGTATCATTGCCCTTGTACAGCTATGCAAATGCATGTGCGTCAATGGAGATAAAGTACAGGAAAAGAAATATTCAGATATTTCTAAAATATCAGCATCATTTAATTTCCAGAGGTAGTTAAACATCTGGTAGTGATTCATTATTAATGCGGTGGCATAACAGACCTATGCTCAGCTGTTGGCCCAAAGTTACTGGGTTCGAATCCAGAGTCAGATTTTTCTTCCATCCTGACCATGGCTCCCAAGGTGACCTAGTCAAAAATAGGTACCATTGTAAAGTCCTGGGAAGTTAAGATTCATTAAAATGGTTTGCACCGACTTATATTCATGAAAAAAAATCCAAAATTTTACCAGGTTTTCAAACTGTTAGGTTAGGTTAGTTGCGTATCCTTTACAGGACGTTGCAGAACCAACCCCAGCAGCCCCTGGCTGTTGTGTGGTTTCTCTGGGCAAATTTATGTCCAGTAGTTTGCCATTGCTTCCTGGACGGTCGGCCCCCCTGATACCACTGTCGAAACCAACGCAAGGCGCATGGCCCCCAGCTGGGATCGAACCCGGCATTACGAAGCGTTTGCATCGACTTAGCCACAGAGCCGACATTCAAACTGTACTGCACATTATTTTGATTAGCTTTATAATATTGCTTTTGTATTTTAGTGACATTCAGTCCCACTACTCAATGTCAGAGAAACTGAGGAACAGTATCAGATGTCTTGACTGAAGTGACTAGAGGAGTGATAACCAGAATCCTGCATCTTTCACAACCCCTGTATTGATGAAAAAAGAAGTGAAGAAGACTGGCACTTCAGAAAATGCTACATATTTCCTTTCCTTCATATACTCTTTCAGTCCCAAGGAATGCATCACTTTCATAGGTTCCTACTTAAAAGCCCAATAAATGCAAGGGCTGAATTTGTGTTTCTCTTTACCAACCATTGCGCCTCTCATGCTAAACCCCCCTTAGACTGAAAGAGTTTAACTCTTTCATTATAAAAAAAGATGACAGTATTTCCTGAAATGTAACTTTTGTCTTTTTTTTTGTTTTTCACAGGAAAATGCTGGAGCTGATGTTTACAATGTCCGTCGACCTGGTGGCAAAAACAGAGGAAAGTGTTGTTCTAGTACCAGTACTGTTGCTGGTAACTCGACTACATCCAGTATTGTTTCTCAAACCAGACAGATGGGTCTCACCGATGTGGTTAGGGGAACTTTGCGGAGAAGGGTTTCCACCAGTTTGCTAAAGCACAAACTGAAAAAGTTGCAGGTATCTAACATTGAAGATTTGTTCCCGTTTTAACGTTTCTCAGTTTTTATTTGATCTTCTTTAACTTTCATGTCTATTTTCCCTCTAGAGTTGAGTTAAGAATTGACATCAAAGCACTCAGGGCATTCCCATGCATGCTCCGTCCTCATCTTCAGCGGCCAGCGCAGAGTTCCAATACTGATGGTACCACTCACAATCTGGTTATATGTCTGTCTTGCCTTTCCTCTGAGTGTAGTGAGCCGGCCAGATCCTCTGGTTACACCCAAATGCCTCATTCTCTCCAGGTCATAATAATATTCTTTTTTCTCTACTGATTCCATTGCTTGTTCCCAAAGGGCCATGACCACATCTGCCTGGTCATGTATCAATTCACCACCCAGTGGTGCAGATTCAGCCAATCTGTCTGCCTTGTTCATTACCCACCATGCTGACATAGCCTGGAGAAAAGATCCAAAGTATGCTTTTTGCCTCTAGATTGCTCTAGCTGTCTGGATACATATTCGGCTAAAAGATACATTTGAAATAAGAACAGTTGTGCCACAGGGATGCCTTTTGTTGAATCCTTTAAAAAACTGACTATTGACTGGGCTGTGATGACAGCAACAGTTACCATCAGAATTAAAATTCAGAGGACCTTGGTTTAACAGCTGGATGATCTGGACGCTGATGAAATTTTCTTCCTGTACCATTCACAAAATTGGATGCCACATACTGGATGAGAGATCACAACAGTTAGGTCTAATTCTGCCTGTGCAGATTAGAGGGAATTAAATGGTATGATAGAATCACTTGTGTGGGGCTTTATGAGAGAACTAAACAATTTCCAGTGAATCAAGAAGTGAGAAAAAGACACTGGCACTGGATAGGAAACACGCCGAGGAAATCTGAGAATAAGATAACTAGAATGTCTGTGCACTAATACCCACAGGCTCAAAGGAATAAAGGCAGAACAACCAAAAAAAAAACCTTTGAGGAGGAACTAGAGAGTATTCTTAAAAGATGGAGAGATCAAAGCATGCATGAGAGGCATGCAATAGCAACAAATAAGACAACTTGGCATGAATTGGTTTGGGGGATAAAAGGCAGAAAAAGAACTACTCAGCAGTATCTACTTTAGTACTTACAGTAAATATTGGGGGGGGGGGGGGGGGATGTGGAATTCTTCTTCAATGTTCAAGTGACATAATTGCCTAGTGCCTTTTTACAGCATAGGCTTCCGGCTGACAAATCCAACTTTATTGGCCATTTATTCACTGGGTTAGCCTTCCAGGTTCACTCTGTCCTCTTTGTCCCATTATCTGCAGGTGTTGCCTCAAGAGAACCCATCCAAGGCAACTGCGTGTAGACTAATCAGCCTGCAAGGAAAGGCAGTAGCAGATCATAGGCATTTCCTCATCCAAGGAGACTTCTTTACATGCAGAGCCGCCACATGATTCTCTGGTCCAAGGAACCATCACATCAGGGAGCATCTGCAGTTCTTGGACTTTGATGACCACACAGAGGGGCACCATTTCTTTAGCATGTTAGACACTTTTTACGTTGTTGCAACTGGACACTTAGCAGGACAGCATAGAAAAAGCATGCATCAGGCATGGCTTCACAGTTTGTTCTCGACACTTTGATGAGTGAAGCTGAGGATGGCGGACATTTGAACCTTGTCTGTCATACAGTAGGACATGTGACAGTTATATTTTTGGTCCCAACACTTAGATGATTAGGGCCACTGGTAGTGGACATTTGACGGTCAGCTTTCTGAACCTTGCCTTATGCCATAGGATACCTTATGGGGATTTAAACCTTATCAGAAAACTGAGTAGGATTTTCGATCAAAAGACGTTTGAACCAAGGTTTGTCATACTGTAGGATGTTCAGCCAGCGGGCTTCACACATGTTCTAAATGAGTTTTCAAATGACGCTATCACTCGTACAATGGGAGATGGGCTGATGAGAGGCAGAGGATTTCTGGACACAGTCTCTGGGGGCCACCAACTCTGAGATCCCCTGCCAACTCAGTCAGGCCCATATATTCCTCAATCCATAGGGCATGACGAGGATTCTTGCATGAGGATCCGTATAATCAGCACAGAGCCTGCTGACCCCGAGGTGAGGTATGGAGAGTATCTTCTTATACCACATCACAACAGCTTTGATTTTTCCTCCCGCCTGTGATCAAAATCTTTGTTCTACAAATAAATCTCAGTTAGCTGGTCCAGCTCCATACCTACACAGTGACAACTAAGTCAAACTCCCACAGACCAGTTTAGTTGTCAGTCATTTCAAATTGTCTCACTTAAGCATATCTTACATACCCTTTTGTAGGGCCAAACTGCCAGCTGCCAGTTACTGCCTTTATTATACTAGGCGGGAGGGGGGGGGATCTTTGAACCTGAAGATTACGCATGGTTGGGGGGGGGGGGGGGAGAGAAGGAGGGGGGATCTTTGAACCTGAAGATTACGCATGGTTGGGGGGAGGGGAGAGAAGGAGGGGGGATCTTTGAACCTGAAGATTACGCATGGTGGGGGGGGGGGGAGAAGGAGGGGGGATCTTTGAACCTGAAGATTATGCATGGTTGGGGGGGGGGGGGAGAGAAGGAGGGGGATCTTTGAACCTGAAGATTACGCATGGTTGGGGGGGGGGGGAGGGAGAGAAGGAGGGGGGATCTTTGAACCTGAAGATTACGCATGGTTGGGGGGAGGGGAGAGAAGGAGGGGGGATCTTTGAACCTGAAGATTACGCATGGTTTTGGGGGGGGGGGAGAAGGAGGGGGATCTTTGAACCTGAAGATTACGCATGGTTGGGGGGGGGGGGGAGAAGGAGGGGGGATCTTTGAACCTGAAGATTACGCATGGTTGGGGGGGGGGGAGAGAAGGAGGGGGGATCTTTGAACCTGAAGATTACGCATGGTTGGGGGGGGGGAGAGAAGGAGGGGGATCTTTGAACCTGAAGATTACGCATGGCTAGTTCTGTTGCCACGACTGCAGGTGAGGATTTTTTTTCCCCCTGACTGGAAAAAATCCCCGGCCTTACCGAGGATTCGAACCTGGGTCTTCCACTCAAGAGCCCAGCGTTCTAATCATTGGCCAGCCGCTCCTCCTTTTGCAAAGCAATTCAGCTAAGTCCACTTGGGGGTCTAAATGTTGAATTTGTGGATCATCATGTGCCAAAGGCCCCAGCATAAAAAATAATTAATATAGTATAACTGGTAATGATCCGTGGACCACTTGCTAGGGCTCAGCTGGCCAGGCCTGTAGGCCGCCACTTGAATAGCCCTGCCTGATTGGTTTCTAGGATTGGAGAGGACAGGATACCTGTGCAATTCACAGTAGTGATAGTATTGTGGTACCTGGTTGGGAGAAGTTTCAACATCTATCTCAACCTGATGATGAAAACCCTTTTCAGGGCCTATATGACCGGAAGGCCATCTATCAGACCTGAGTTAAGATTTTGTTCCAGAGGATTCACAACTAACTATTTTAACTTTATTGTTTTTGTTGTTGTTGGTATAAATATAAAAGGGACTATTTGACATTTGTATTATGCGTATTTTTACGGCAAATTATGGCGTACAAGACAACCTCAAGGGCTTTTTAGCTCAAAATTTTGAGTTAGGCCTTTACCTACTATATAGATTAGCTCCCAGATATTATTGTGTCAAAATGCCAAATTTTTTTCAACAAACCCAAGTTTTAGTGGGATATATTTGTGACTGCCTGTTGGAGTTTTGGTAGGTAGTGTGTAAAGTGATTGTCGGTAGTAATATCCCACTTCTTCACAGCTAAATAGTAAAAGGTTGGCCCTGCCATATGTCGAGCTTTAGCTTTGGATGTTTTTTGTGTTTAGATAATATTTGTAAATTAATGCATAAATTGTCAACTACTTCCATCCAGGATTATTCACTACCCCATCATCTTGATAACTTTGCACTGCTGAGAGAAACTTGCAATGTTAAAGCAGCCGGAACATCCAACATCTTGAAAAAACATAAGACACCACCACCAAAGCCTCCTCGTCAAAACCTTCCTACGAATTCCAAAGGAAATAAGAGCCTCCCAGCTGGAAAACAACACAACCAGGAACTTATTACGGTAGGACCAATTAATAGCTTAATGTATGTAACTTTCTTATTCTTTCAAGTGCTGATTTAAGAATCAACGTCATAGCACAGCGGACATACCTATAGATGCTCTGTCTCCTGCAGCAAATGGTGTAAGGTGTAGATGCTAACTGTTCCTGTAGCACACTGATTATACATACGCCGATCCCTTCCTTTCATCCATCTCTCCTTGCTGGATTCACACTTAATTCTTTATTCATACATTCTTGCCCATGTTATTTCATCTAATGTCGTGTCTTCTGCCAAAAGTCGTTCATATGTGGTCTTCAGAATATATCCCTCGTCCGAGTTTTCTCGTAGCTTTCGCTTTTGTAGCCACATTCCCTTGCACTCCTGCATATCCTGGACAGTATATCCACCTGCTTCTCTGCAATGTTGGCGTACTGATGCATGGTATCCACTCATACCACAATAGTCCATTTTGAACCTTCCGCAATGCTGAATTCTGTCATGTGCACAGCACGTTAAGGTGTAATAGAGCCATGCTTACCTAATCATATCCAATAATATAACATCTTCAGTGTGTTGAGATTGAGTAATTGTAAGATTAGTCTTATACAAGTCAGCAAAGTAAAGGACCCTTTCCACATCTTCAGGTATGTTCGGCATATATGACTAGACCTATATTTTATAGACCAATCACACTTAATGAGTGATGTGGTCAGCATAGCACCTGACACCTTTTCTTACCAGAATCCCACCTCGTAAGGTTGGGTCGACCTGGGAGCCAAGGTGATTTTTGGAAAAAAGTCTTCTACCGTCAGGACTTGAACCCACAACCTTCCAATCCACAGGCAAGTGTCTAGCTGCTACACCAATGCGAGTTCCCCTATACAAGTCAGTAACATACAGAAATCGTTAACTGGACAACTCTTGGGGGTCATATAAACACTACGATAAAGAAGTGTATTCATTGGCAGTGGTAGATAAGTCGGCGTCTGAGGCTTTTGCGTGCAAATGTACTTTGTAATCCCCAGGTACCCTGTTTGTTTCCAGCTGCAAGCGATTTGGCAGCAGATTGCTTTGCATTAATTTTGACAGTGCTATCAAGAGCCAGCCGTTTAGAAAATTATGGTAACTACTAGGGCTGTACTGAATAGAAATTTTCACTATTCAGCTGAATACGAATAGCGGGACCAACTAATCGGCCGAAAACAAATACGAATTGTGTATCATCATCATCAGGTGCCTTGCTGGCGTGAGCCTTGCCACAATCTGCGATCTCCTGCAGCATGTATTAGTTCGTGTGCTGACACACCTCCATGCCAAGCAACAAGACTGTCAAGAATCTTCTCTTGTTGTCTTCCTCTATCCCTTTTTCCACAGATCTTTCCAGTGGTCACCACATGTTCCATTTTCCCTCTTCTCATAAAATGACCGAAAAATAATGACTGTCTCCTTCTGATGTCTGTGATAAGTTGCCTTCGGGCTCCCGCATCTTTCAAAACCTCTTGGTTGCTTGTTTTAGCTGTCCAAGGTATTTTAAGCATTGTTCTGTAAAACCACATCTCTGAGGCCTCAAGAAATTGTTGGGCCTGCCTACCGATCGTCCAGGATTCACAGCCATATGTTAAAACTTGATGCTGTACCACGCAACCGGGTCGCAGTTGCCCCCGCTACAACAGACTTAGGCAACAGCAACTATTGTGTTAATGAGAGAGTTATTTCAGTCTATCGCAGTGTATGCAGAAACGGTTGTAAGGTAATCACTTCTTATTCGGCCTGACCGCAAGCATTCGGCTGAATACCAAATAGTAATTAGGTACACTATTCGGCCCCGAAGCGAATATTCGGTACAGCCCTAGTAACTACTGAAAGTAAAGTTGTCTAGTAAAACCTCACAGCTAAAAAGAATGCCGCATTTTGGTCTGCAATGGCATGTAAAGGATATGCCATTAACATAGATATAGAAGGACACACTAGACAAGCAGGGTTGTCTTATGTGTCCTCTTATCTCTTCTTAAGTGCCATGTTAATTTGTTAATTAAATATATGTTAGTCTGGATCTGTCGTGGTGTAATGGCTAGGCATCCGTCTGCAGATCCGAAGATCGTGAGTTCAAATCCGAACGGAGCCTGACTTTAAAAAAAAACATGATCTTGGATCCCATGTCGACCCAGCCTTAAATAGGTATCAGGTAAAGTCATGGGAAGTAAAGGTGCTGATGACCATATCATCCACCGAGTGCTGATTGCTCTAACAAATATAGGTCTAAGATTATAAGCCCAAAACACCTAAAGGTGGGGTAAAAGGTCTTTTACTTGCACGAGTGAGTGTTGATATCTGACACCTGACTGTACAAATACTTTCACATAAAAAATACACTCATTTGTATGTTTCTCAGTAAGGATTGTTTATAGCCTTTGACCTTTCTGCGTAGAATAATAGTAAAATCAAATCAAGGATACCTTTTTTGTTGTAGGTAAGTTAGGTATATAGCAGAGGCCCACTACTTTAAGAGCATCAGGCTCCCATTGAAAAAAAAAAACTTATTGTCTGTATCTTGAGTTGTAATTGGAATATATCTTATCTCCTTATTGTTAGACCACTTAGCACTTAATGGGTCATGTAATCAGTATCAGACTGGCCACTTCCACTTCCCAAAAAGTTTCTTGGTGCCCACGTAAAAAGGGTCTCTTCATGTGGGTTTTGGGACCCCATAATGGGGAAAGAGGAATAGACCCACTGCTTCCCTAACAATTATGTCATCTGCCTGAGAGGTGAGGAACCAACTGTTTGCATAAAATACAGCAGATTTGTAAAACGGGTGTGTACACAAAACTCTAGTTCTGTAGCAAGACTTAAGTCCAGAAGTGGACGAATGGCCAGAACTCTCTGCCAGGGTTTACAGCCGGTGAACGTAAGGAAAGAAGAAATGTTTGGTTTAGCTTAGAAGCCCAAGTCAGCGGACAAAAACATGTACTTTATGGAGGCTTGGACACATGACCATCACACTAGTAGGTAACTATACCAGCCTCAAGTCACTATGCTGCTATGCCTTCCTCTGAATGAGTGATCAAACTGTGGTGGAAAGTTCTGCTTGTTCATCTACTTCTTGAGTTTTTATTTCACATCTGTTTTACAGATCAAGGTTATTTTAGTGCAGACTGTTGGTTCCTTGCCTCTCAGGCAGACACACTCCGACTTTAAAGGAATTGCCCCTAATTAGTTACCTCCTATGACATGCTTTTTAGGAGGGCACCTGGTCTTAACTTTGTTCTCCAAAATAAAGCCCCGGAACACACATGGGGAGGGTGAACAGTATAATGTCAGCCAGCCAAACTTTGCAAAACATTACCTTGTTCCCATTTTTAAGGGAGATACAGCAGTGAGACGCTCACCTGCCATGTTTTCAAATGGATGTTGTTTTCCATATCAGCCCAACCTAAAAATGGATCAATGAAAAGTCCTGGGGAGTAAAGGTGGCCTACCGAGTGCTGATTGGTCCAAAAATGTAGGTCTTGCACTGTATGCTTGATGCACCAACTGCGTTAAAAGTGTATTTTACTTTGACTGTTGAAAAAAAATTAATCGCAGTGTACAACATGCTTGTTAGGGAAGCAATATGTCTGTTCCTCCAACCCTCCCCCCTCGTGTTGCCCAGAATGTGACCCCTAAAACCCCCATGAGGAATATATAGCCAGATAAATGTTTTGGGATTGAAGAGACATAATTTCAGAAATGCTGCTGCAAAATGGAAGTGCATGCAAAACTCAAGTTTTGGATCAATACCAGAGTCCAGGAGTGGACGAACCACCAGAACTGTCCTCCAGATTTCACAGCAGTGGAACCCCAAGAAAAAGAAAGATAGACATATATGTCAGTGTGTCTGGAGCATTTTGTTGAAGAAATTATGACCACTCTATTGTTTCAGTGCATCTAATGGTCTGGTAAACCTCTTTGCATCTAGTGGTCTGGGAAATTGCTTTTTCAAGTCTTTTCCATGTGGCATTGGTTGTCATGCCTACCCACAACCTTTAATCTGATGTATTTTCAATCAGTTCTGATGTAAGTGGTCCTCCATGCCATGATGTCAGACTGTCCAGCATCTTCTGTCTTGGTCTCTCTCTGCTTCTTTTCCCCTCCAACGCTTCCATCGTCACAATGTACTCGTTTTCTCTTTCTCATGACATGGCCAAAGTATGTAGTCCCCTTCTGATGTAGGTAATCACTTCTCTTTGTGAGTCAGTTTCTTTCAAGACATCTTTGTTACATTTCACCTATCCAGGGTCAAATGATTGAATATGTTAGAGACACAAAAATACAAATTTGCTGGACATTAGGAGGCTCTCTAGGCAGTGGTGAAATGTCGCTCACAGAACTAGGGGGGGGGGGGAGGTCTCATAAACGCTTTGTCCCCATCTTTAGCAGCCAGCGGATAGATCCAGTAGCATTCTGTTTAATTTGTCTGTGTTGCCTTTCCTGTGAGCGTCGACGATCGGCCAGAACCCCTTGACACTCCTCCTTGCATCACTGTCACCAGACTATGGTTAGCTATTTGCTACTCCGAATTGTACACGGCCCTAACCACACCTGCCTTTTCATGCATCAGTATTCCACCAAGTTGCGCACAGCTGGCCAGTCTGTCCGCCTTTTTATTTCATAACACACGGGTGTGACACGGATAAAAGATCCAGACAATACTCCTCACCCATGTCGTCCTCAGCAAAGCATGCCACTCTGCACGAAGCATGTCTGTCCTGACCTTTCCCCAGCATGCTTTCTGAGTCAGTTACAATCATGTTGTGTGTGTGTGTGTCATGTTCTCTGGCCAGCGGAAAGCTGCAGTGACCGCCTCCACCTCCATTCTTAAGCTGGATGTTGTGATCTAATACACTACGCTCTCCTGCACCAAACATCGACCATTAACTTTTGCTAAGAAACCCCAAGCACTTCTTTTGCCTCTTGACACTGAATAATTCGGGTGATAGTACACATCTCTGTTAAACACTTTAGTTAATATTAATAAAA